TCAGATCTGCCGCGTATTCCGAAGCGGCTAAGACGATGGTCCATTTTGGTAGCTTCCACACGATCGTACTATATGCCCCGCCCTCTCGTTTAGTCCGTGCCGATCCGTCGGAACTGACCGCCAACAGGCATTTATCCGTACCAACTGTAGGAGGTAGCATAGATACCAACTGTTAAGGTTTCTTCCGTGGAGCGATCGCAATCAACACACCTTCTACCTCATCTCGCGGAGTTATGCTAGCTGCGAGAGCGCCTAGTATTTCATCCTCTCCTTTGTTACATCTCTTGACCTCCAGTGTCCAATTCGATAGCAGCGCAGCACATCTTCCCAGTCTTCCATTGAGGCCAGAAGATTGAAATGGTCAAGCTAATTTTGAACACCGAGTGAGCATTCTGATCTCTAGGGATACAACCATGGTGTAGCACACTTCCAAGATTCGAAGTAGGGCTAAAACTTCTTTCTCCACCATACCATAATTGACTTCATTAGGCTTCAGTGTGCCCTTCGTGAATGTCACCGGCCAGTACACGCCGTCATATTCTTGCAATAGAAATGCCGGTACTGCCAATTCACTAGCATATACCACGATCACTGAAAGTCGATCTGGATCGAAATGATTGAGGAATGGGGTTGTAGCAATCTTGTCCTTCAGCAAAGCGAATGCAATGGTGGCCCTTCTCACCGAGATCGCTCATTTGGACCATTCTCACCCCCTTGTAATGCATTATCGCAACTTCCCGATATCGCATCACGATCTCCCATGTGGCTCATCTAAAAAAATCCACCTCTTGTAACTCGTACAACACAGATGCACATTCTGCAAAATTTCCTATAAAACGACTGTAGTAGCTCAAGATACATAGGAACGATTGCAATGTTCGCAAAGTTGTGGGAAAAGGAATGTTGACCAGCGATCCTAGATATTTAGGATTGGCCTACAACCCATCCAAAGATACCTGATGACCTAAGTAATTCACCTTAAGCCGTCCCCAAACCACTTGGTCAGACTAATCGACAAATTCCATCGATCGCATGCTGTCAATAATCTTTCGACCTTCTCGTACAAAAATGTCCGTGACGTAGCCGGGATCAATTTATTGTCAATGTAAGAACGCCTACCCAGCGCTGACGGCGCTTGATCCGTTTTCGGCTCTCCCTCAGTAAACAAATCAATTAACTTAGGATGATCCGTTACATTGACCTCCTTATCTGTACCGATCTTGAGATAATTAAATAGAGCATTATCAATCAAACGCTGATAGATCTGTGGGACGTTCTTCAATCCAAAAGGCGTCCGCAACCATTCAAACAACCCTGAAGGCGTGATAAACGTAGAGATCGATCTTGCTCGTTCAGTCATCTCTACCACCCAAAATTCACTCATAATGTCCAGCGAACAAAACCACATTGCTTTGTCCATCTCCTGCAACAATTCACTGATAAGTGGCTTAGGGTACACCATCAACTGTGTTAGCTGATTAACTCGTCGATAGTCGATACACAGTCGGGTACCTTCTCCGTTCTTATAAATAATTACAACTATTGGTGATGCCTACGGCGATGTCGAAGGTCGGATAATCTTGGCTGACAACAGGCCTTTTATCAGATCGACCAACTTTTTACTAAACTTTGGCGCAACAGGTCGTACACGCTGAGCGATCGGCCTCGACTCTCCCACATCAATATCGCGAACGACCCCGCGTGCTGCAGGGGGTAATGCATTATTTCCCCTATCAACAGGTGATGACTCTTCCATATCAGTCGTCGCAAATCCTCTTGATCCTCTGTCAATGGTATTCCAGGATCGCCAACCTGGACATCGTCTAAAATTATCTCTGTCGTGGCTATGGTTACCTCCGGCAGTACAGCCATGCGTTGTTCCACATCTTCCGCGGACAGTTCACCCCCCTCGTGGTAGTATGTTGATTCATCCGGTACATCATTTTTTATCACTTTGCCGTCGATCTTAACAGCTTTCACGTCGTCGTCTAGTCATGTAGACCGGCCATGCACCTCCCAATCTTCAACCTTGATCATGTATCGGTGACAGTTGGACTGTACTTGTAGCGCATCAGTTATCTTATGGTTGGTTTTTAGTGTCATAGCCTCCTCTGCAACCATGTCCTCTTCACCCGAATGTTCTGGCGTTTTCCGCACTGCGTTGACCGCACACGATCTCATTGTCGATCTATCATCCTTGTCTTCGTTATTCTTTCCGCTCATACATTCTTCCTGCAGCTCCTCATTACATTCGCCATTTGAGTCGGATAGTGAGGCGATCTCTGCAGAATCCTTGATGTCGTCTGATTTCCGTTTTAAGCGTGTCGAAATTCGAGTCGGTTTCTTATACGTAGGATGATCCACTAACGGGCCCGTGTAGACTTCGGCTTCGTCTTCATCTCGATCTGTAGTGGCTTCAAAAACCAATGTCTGCCATTCCATGTACCGCCGCGATCCTACAGATACAGATCCTTTAAATCGCGGGATCATGTCTTTGTCCCCCCCCGCTAAATGGACCCCGCAGGATAAGATAAAGTAACGATCGCTTACAATTGTAAGCTTTAGAAATTAAATCTTACCGGGACCAGTCGTCACGGTAGGAATCCACGCCCAATCCCGTCGCACCCAAAGCTTAGATTTTGGAGGGTTGACGCCGATCCTGACTTCTGCCGATTTGCCGGCCGCAATGGCTATTTGTTGATCGTTAATGTTGACCGCCGATGTATTTGATCGGTACGGTGGTCTTTGTCCAGCCAGACAGATTCGAACTTCATTGGGCAGGCAAAGAGTTCTGTCGGCCAAACCCAAACGGATACCTGCAGGAACCGTGAATTCCATGCCTAGTATAGCTTCTTGACCGCCTTGATACCCCACACAGACATCAAAATAATACACTAGTGATCCGTTCAGTGTGATCTTGATCTTAGTCCGTCCTTCCATCATAAAAGTACTCTCTCCAATCCCAACACATTCTTGTGTTAGGTTCTTGTCTATCACACACCCTACCTTACGAGCAAAGGTAGTGTCGATGAACGAGATCTCCGCATCAGAGTCAAACAGACAAGTGGCCTTCTCATTGTTGATCTTGCCCACTGCTTTCGCTTGTTTGAACTATTTTCCCGGAGTATGATACGTCAAGTATCCTCTCGACTTACATGGGTGAGATCGAGCTCCATCTCCACAGGGGATTGGGCATAATAGTCCACTCGCTTCACACTTGACATTGAAGAGGTCCATTTTGAGCAATCACATATATTAGAGATCGGATCGCGCCGATCCGTAACTTCTTGGTCATCCGACTTCTTCTCTAACAAATGCATATATGCATAGCCCAGAACGCTTAACTCGTTATAAATTCCAACCTGGCGGGCGTCCTGTTTTAACATTTCCTCGACCTTCGGAATAAACGTATCCGCATGCTTAGTAGGCACATACCACTAGCGGATCAAGTAAGAAACTCTTCCATGGGGCATTTGCCATTCTCATGTAACTCTGCACATGCTGCTCACACGTAGAAGCACTTGTCCGATGGATGCCCTTTGCGACAGCACTTCTGGCACATTAGTCTCTGCCAGCATCCACGATCATCATGTCGCGTCGATCCGCAGTGGGTGCATGCCTTCGGTTTTAAACCTCGATCACGTCCATCTTCTTCACCAGTATTCTTCTGCCAGACACGATGATCTTGATCCGACCTTTCTTGACCAGATGTAGTGGTCACACAAACTCGGCGGCGATCCTTGTCTTCATCCGATCCAATCGAGTCCGATTCCGAATCGCTTCTTTCAATTCGCTTAAGGATTGCCCTCACCGCCCGAGCAGTCTTGTATGACATAGGATTTGGGGAGGCATTCGCTCGCTGGTGAAACTTGTTCGATCCTGTCGACGTCTTCAACTGACGACTCAATATCCTTTGGCGTGCACGTAACGTCTCATCCAACTCATTGACATTGCCCAATCGCAGTAGGGTCAGCTGCTTGGCCAGATCGCGATCGTCCAACGTGGCAATGAAATTCTCCACATGTCCACGACGTGTGTCCGATGTGGCCATCCTCTCGTCTCTGATCGCGGTCTTGGCATGCTTAGCCGCGACATTTAGGCGGTGTAAATACTCCTGTGTATTTTCATCCGATCGTTTCCGTGCGAGATAGTATTGTCTGGCCAGAGACACACCTTGCCCTTCATACTGTACCATGAACTCATCGAGCAATCTCTTTCACTTCTTTCGAGTAGATCGACCTAGTTAATTATAGCAGTTTAAAGCGGGTCCTGTCAGCAGATCTCCGAACACCAAACACTTCTCCTTATCGGGTGTTTGATCGCGCAAGAAGGCCGATTTGACCTTGCTGATCCAGCTTCTGTCCAATCTTCATCTCGATCCTTGCCACTGAATTCTTTCAGCTCTATCATCGCCGACACTCGAATGCGTTGAGGTATGCTACCACCATCTTGCAACGTCTCGGTCGTGCTACCAAAGCGTGTCTACGATCTTCTTGTCCCGAATCATCGGGATCGATGTCGTCAGTGTCAAAAACCTCCAGTTGACTGATGGGCGACTAATACCGATTCCATCTCCACATCAGGGGTGTATCTTTCACAGGATCTAGCAGGTTTGACCCTTTGGATAGGGTAGATCGCTTGATACGCTCGTTCCCGTTGATCTTGGCGAAAACGTTCCACGGCCTCATCGAGGTATGTCTGCAGGAGTCCTTGCTTAGCAGTCGTCAACTGCTCTTAAGCGCCTGTGGCCTTCGATCGCGAGTTTAGCTTCACCGACTCGACTAGATCGCGTAGATGTGTTGCACCACTTAAGCCGAGAGACATTCGCTGGATGCCGACGGAATTGTCCGATTCCATCTCTGATTCCGCTGAGGCATATTGTGACGATTTGGCATGATACCCCCTCGGGACATCGGTGATCGTGTCAACCGCATGATCCGTGGATTCGCGCTTCCCCGTCAGAGGAATTAGCTTGTCATCCAGCGATCAACACGCATGGATCACCTATCCTGATCGCATTCCAGCAATTTGCTTGCATCGAATGCCCCAGCGACGTATTCAGCATCTTGTAGTATCTGGATGATCGCGTTGATCCCTTCCAGCGGATTAGTTGCCGCCTTAGGTAGAGATATCGGGCCTTGAATTTCTCCGATCATCTTGGGATTCAGTATCCTTAGCACGGGGTCGCTCGATAGCAATTTTTTGAGCGCCTTCCAATGGAACCCTTGCGCCAGTTGATCCAGCTGCCAGCCTTCCATCTTCATATCTGGAGCCTCTTCCACGAACTTGATCGGTCTCACGATCTTTTTTTTGCTGCGATCCTGTCGATTCGATCTGGGCTCTTCTTTCTTCACTCGATCTGTCTTTAAAGCCTTCTTCTTCGACATTGCCAGAGTTGTCTTGTGTAGTTTTTGTTCAGTTTTCGCTACAGGGTCTTCATCCGGCGTATAGTGTTTTGCAGCACGATCCGCGGTGGTCCCCGAAAGGGACCTCAGGAGAGGTTTGGGTTCTATCTTCCAGATCGATCGATCGATCTTTCTCTTCTATTTTCTTGTCATCAGAGCCCCTTTCGAAACTCTGATAATTCGGGGATCATTTAAAATCACGCGTTGGAGGCAATCCCCTTTCCTTTAACGCTTCCATCCCAGGTTCAGTCTTGACTTTCTTCTCTTCACTTAGCGACTTACGGTGAATTCCCGAGTCACCAGAAGATCCGGGCACGCGCACCATCGTGGTGGAGTGGCGATCGCTCATTTTATGAGTCGATCCCAACTCTCCCCTGGCGCCCGGACGACCGACTAACGAAGGGGTACTTCGATTCCGTGTGTGTTGCCTTCCTCACCTTGTGTAACCGTCGGTAGGGCGGGTTGCACTCTTTCAGGTGGACTCATGTCGAAGGAAAACTTGACCGTGTTGTGGATGGGGTTCTGATCGTACGGAAGTCTTCACGTGATCATGGGGTACTTGTGGGTACTGATACAAGTTACCCTGATCTCAACGAGATTGCCTTGTCCACTATGTGGTTGCTTGATCCGCGAGCCTTCTGACCACTTGAGCCGTCTCGCGATCTTGCGCCTTGCTTTTACTGTTTTGCTGCGTCCGATCGCAGTTGATGTTGCTTGAGAGTTCTTGAACACACCTGGCCAAAACAATCCAGGTGTGATACTTGCGTAGACGTGTAGCGCGACTCTTTATTCGACGGGGGCCAAAGATCCTACCCGGAAGAGATAACGTGTGCCTTGTAAAGTAAATTGAACTCTGTTTAATGTTAACCAACCAACCTAAACCCTACCCCTATGCCTATCCGTATATCCTAACCAGATGCCACGCGTAGCCTTTCCAGGAAGATCGTCCCCTCGCATTTGTGTGGTCCACACCCAGTATATCAGCAGTTGTATCTTCTTGTGGCCCACCCAGGATATCCCCATGATCCTACTAGCGGATCGTAATCCTACCAGTGGATCGTGATCCGACTAAGATCGTGATCCTACTAGCGGATCGTAATCCTACCAGTGGATCCCGATCCTACTAGAATCGTGGTCCTACTAGCGGATCGTGATCTTACTAGTGGATCGTGATCCTACTAGGATCGTGATCCTACTAGCGGATCGTGATCCTACTAGCGAATCGTGATCCTACTTAAGAATCGTGATCCTACCAGTGGATTTTGAACCTACTAGAGGATCGTGATCCTACTTACGGATCGTGATCCTACCAGTGGACCGTGATACTACCAATAGAAATGTCCTTGCGACCGCTTTGCCACAATCCTAATTTAGACACTTATGTCCTTATTCGGTACAACTAAGATCTCTACCATCCGGTGGCAGACACCAGATAGAAGAGACAGCACCTACAAGCCGAAAAGAGATTTTATATCTCCATCAGTGGGATATCATCTCTGTGTCTAAGACACAGGGTATTAGACGCCTAACTGCGTGCAACCCCTTTACAACCTTTCCCACCAGACTGACGTTTCCCAAAACGTCAATCAAATTAGTTCCAATCGAACGTTCCCATCGAACATTTTTTCTTTCACGAGGCCATTGCACTTGCGGTTCACCTCACAGTAACGTAAAGCTGAGTACGATGTCCTCATCACCAAACAAGTCAACGAGTCTCAGTGATTACCTCGAAATGGGGGAGGCATAGGACTATGGTAGCAATACCAGTGTCCTGGGTGATGCAGGGCCAATGTACGATGCACCCATGTACGAAATACGACCTCGTACTGCCCATCTGCCCGTTTCCTGAACGTGATAATGAGAAATCGCCATTGATGCCACGCTCAAAACTCTGTTCGGATGATACCATTATCACGAAATTGCTCGATGAGCAGCAAGAGTTACTTCTTTAACAAGAAGAAAGCACTTGGCGCCATGCGCAAATGTTCGCAGCCCTCTAGCACCAACAAGACTATGTGTTCACTTCACGCCTTGTGGAGGAGCACTTACGTTAAGCGTCCGGCCAATCGTTGGCAACATGGATCATTGGCCATAGGCATAGGTCTCCTGATGAGATGGCGAGTGGCCAGGCACTTCGCGAGATGTACCTGGAGCCTCACCTGACGACCCAAGGTCAATATAAGGCACGCCTTGACACGCAAGCACGTGGTGCACCGGTCGCACCGATAAAGGATATACCCATTCTCTTGCTTGCAGACGAAAAACTGAGTGAAGAAGACAATGCATTTGTCCACCGGTCAAACCGCATACGTCGCCTCAGCAGTATGTCTGATCTAAAATTAGTGTCAATGTGGCTGATGTGCGTCTCGAACGCAAGCTTCGGAATGCCAAGCTTAAGGCCAGAGGCCAAATGCGTAATCCCATGCGATATGCTTCGGCTACTACGGTAGCTGCGAGTGTTCGCCAGAAGATGACTGCCAACCCGCCAACCCACACCACTAGTGGTGTAAACGGCCTCGGACTTAAGATGACCTTAGCCACGATGTTCATAAAAACATCCAAAGCATTAGGGCAATCTTGTCGTATTAGGACCTCGTATTCCCATGCGTTTTCAGACTCAGGGTACCCACTCCACTTTACTAGATAATGGTATTGGCCATGACGACGACGTCGTTTCAGTCTTCTCTCGACATGAAACTGATGACACCAATGCTTATCGAGCATCGTCGGTGGTGGCCAGCGTATTGGTGGCAGTCCACGAGAAATTGGTTCTCGAAGTGAAGGGTCTTTAAAAGACCCTGGGGAAGACCCAATACATGCTTGATGCGATGCAGAGCCGCCTTCAGGCGATGTAGCATGCTCAAATTCGGAGCGAGGCTCAGTTGGACTTGCTGACTCGCCTGCAGCAATCCGGGGCACCGCCCTCGTCGTCGGCGCCAGCGCCATAAAGTTCACATGGGAAGGGTCCGGGTACGGCTTAAGTAAGCCTACGTAGAAGTATGGTGTGTGCGCAATTTGCGTGAAAAATTAAGCGTATACGCCAGGCCCTTCTTGGCAGTGAACGTAAACGGTCCAATGAAGCGTGGACCTGACTTTGTCTTGAAGACAGCAGACACGACATTTGTAGGTAGGTTTGTAGCATGAAGTATTACTTGGTCTCCAACCTTAAAAATTTCGATACAATTTGTGCCTTTGGTATCAGCTTGTTGATATTGTTGATCTTGGCTATCATCCATTGCGTCACGCACATATCATAAGACATTTAATCGCGTTATGAGGAACTTGGACCCCTGCTTTTAATCAGTAGCAGGGCTGATATCAGCAAGCCGATCGGCAACCTCTCCCCCACCAAGCCATGAGCCACATAATGGTAGCGTTAACGGAAGGCGAGGATGGGTGAGACCGTTTACGAAAAACAGAGTAAAGCTTGTGGAGGTATGAACAGCGTTGTTCACCGCAAATTCAACAGCAGGGGGCATTGAGCTTTAACACCTTGGCGTGTCAGCGCAAACGATGCGCAAAATGTTACCAATGATGTGATTAACACGCTCAGTCTGACCACCGGTCTGCGGATGAACCGCCGTGGACATATCCAATCGGGTGCCAAGCACCTTGAGGATATACTTTTAAAACTTCCCAGTGAAGCGGGGTCTCTATCAGAGATAATTGCCACCGGCAAGCCATGTTGGCAAAACACACGGTCGATAAACAGCTTTGCTGCACCTTCAGCATCGATGCTATCCGGCACAGCCGCTAAGTGAGCCATCTTGCTTAATCAGTCAACAAATACCACAATACCAGTATTGCCTTCCGAATCTTTCGGTAGGCCAAACACAAAATCCATGCTCATGGACTCCCAACAACCAGTGGGTACTGGCAAACTAGGCAGAGGCGCCGCCGCATGTGCCGAGGGTTTTACCCGTTGACACGTTTCGCACGTACGCACATAGGTGCGCGCCCACTTATAAAGATTGGGCCACCAATAACTTTGGCTCACCGAGCTATAAGTCTTCTCACGACCGAGATGACCACTTAAAGCAGTATCATGTGCCTCATTGAGGATTCGATACTTTAATTCCTCATCATGAGGTACAGCGATACGAGGCTTATCTTCGATATCTGTGCGATAGCACAACAGGCCATTATCGATAGAATATCGATGTAGCGTCGCACGTTAATGTGCTGACAGAGTTATGTCCGAGCCTTTAAACTCATCGCCCCCAAGATCCCGTAGCAAAGCTATACACTGTTCTATCTTGGCAAAAGCCGCATGGATTAAGTCAGGGACTAATGACGACAGAGTCGTAACATGAGCAAGCTCATAGTCAGGTCGACGCGATAGCGCATCAGCCAAAGCGTTTTGCTCTCCTGGCTTGTACTTCACCTCGGAGTTGTATTCGGCAAAGAAGGAAAGCCAACGAGTCATTCTCTAAGATAGATGCGGCGACTGTGTCGCAGTGCGCAATGAAGCATGATCTGCATGTATCACAAATGGCTTTACGCCAAGCAGATTTACTCTAAACTAAACGAGAGCATACTTCATAGCAAGTAGTTCTTTGTCATGAACTGGATACTTATTTTCAGCAGCTTTAAGCTGGTGAAAATTGAACGCAATGACGCGCTCGTGTATACCAACATCTGTTTGTAACAGAGCACTGCCAATGGCAATTTCAGATGCATCGCAGACGACACTAAAGGGTCGATCAGGATCGGGCAAAGCCAATATTGGCGCACGAAGGAGGCTCTCCTTAACCACTTTATGAGCATCGTGCTCGGTATTACCCCAACACCAATCGACATCCTTTTTAAGAAGTTTGGATAATGGCCTAGCCGTGTCGGCATACTCGCGCTATAATTATGCAAGTAATTGGCAAGGCCAAGCCACTTACGTAATTTTTATTGATTTTCAGAAACCGGCCAATCGACTATGGCCCTTACCTTAGCGGGGTCCGCTCGAAGGGCTCGCTTCCCAATGAAGCACC